CATAGACATAGAGGACGTAGTCGTCATACGACTCCCCCAGAGGGTTGGACGCCACACACCGGTAGGTCCCGTTGTAGGACTTGTTTAGATTCTCAATGTAAAGATCACCTCCTGTTATGACAGCATGGGACGGTACGTCATCATCCACCTTCAACCAATTCACCCGCTGAGGTCTGAAATCAGGTAAATAACAAAACGGTAGACTCTTAGTTATGGAGGACATGGTATTCATAAATACTTTAGAAGGATCCTGGATTAGATGCGATACTCGCCAACAGCAATGAGCTCTTTTGAGATTATTGTTGATAGGAGTATCAGGATTAGTACCTTCTTCAAAAAAATCTTCCATATCCAGCCCTACACATGTGTACTGCCCTCTAGAGGTGGATCTACAGGTGGCGAGGGCCAGTTTTATTTACTTATTAATATGTTTTAGAATTACAAAATAAAATAAAAAATATAAAATCCATAAACGGTTGTTATATTAACATTAGAGCATAAATAGTTTTAAAAACCAGAATTTTTCATAAAAAAATGGTAGGAAACTTTTATATTGTGATTTTTATGAATTCTTGTTTCATTTAACATTTATTTACTTAGATGATCTAATTGAAATGTACATTTTTCAGCTTGAACTGGTGTTTTGTAGTGGCTACCTGTGTCAACAGGTATTTTAGCCCTCACACAACCAAGAAAACCTATGATAGAAAACAAACTGTGTCAATATCCCTCTAGAAAAGTCGTACAACAGCCTCTTGAGGGGGGCGGAGGCCTTTCTGGTTGCAGTCTCCCTGGACTTCCTGTGTTCTGGGACAGCGCCTGGATCTCTGGGACTTGGAGCTCCCCCGTCTCCTACACATCTTTGGGGGGCAGATCTGTGGTCCCTCACTCTCTGTTGGACACTCCTATAGAGAAACCTTACATAAACAAGCGCTTGTACACACACAGGTGCTCACATGGTGCTCTCATAAGTATGGACTTGGGCACGTTCAACACATGTCTTAAGGCTGTGGTTGGTACTAAATGCACTGTGATTTATTATCGTGTGATTGTTCAGTTAAACAATGTTGATTATATATTTCATCATCAAGTTGACGCAGTGATAGCTTGCTCTTGTTGTATTGTTGTTGTGTCCCATTTTTTGTTTGTTTGTTGTTGTTTTTTTGTTCTTTTTGTTCTCTCTTTCTGCAGGTCTAGAAGCAGACTCTTGTTCATTATTGTTTATTTTTGTGGACCCCCCCCCCCCCCCCCCCAACATTTTGACTACAATAAAGTCTATGAAACCCAAATGTCTAGCTGCTTAAAGATTTAAACCCATTTGTAAACATCAACTAAAGGTTATTTAAATGATCATATTTGACTTAAATGAATATCAATTATGACAATAACTGTGCTAACTGTGGTTTTATCCAACTTTTACTCCTTCTTGTGAAGTTTTTGTGTCGGTGGCTGCCCACTAAGCGTCTGTCTTTGTTCTCTCTTTCGCCTCGACTGAGGCATAAAGCAGGGTGGCGTATTCCATTTTTATGACAATGAGCACCAAGTACCCAGAGTCACATGGGGTTAGGGAAGAATAAGGAGACAAAGCACCTCTATTTGGCTGCAGCAGCTTCCAAAGACCACTGCCAGGTTCTCTTATTTCCCCTGAGCACGTGCTGATGGTCTCTAGCAGAGGTTTTTTTTTTGTTGTGGCGCTTTAAAGTTTTACTTTTTTTTCTTTCCCCATCTTTTTCAAACCTTTCTGCGAGGATCAAGCAAGCAAATAAGAGATGGGGATAAAAAATCAGGTGAAAAATACAATGGGAAGAAAGGAAAAAACAAAGAAAATAGCTGTTTGAAGCTCAAGAGCAAAACAAACAAACCACAAGTGTGTTTAATGGCAGTGGCGGACAGCTTAAAGGAAAGAGAGCCATGACTACTACGAGGGCTCTCCAGAAGGAGGAGTGAAAAGTAAACAGACCAAGAAATATATGAGAATACCTTTTGCTAAGATGGAGATGAGGACATAAGGAATAAAAAAGGGAATTCTATAGGTGGACTGGATGTTGTGAGAGGGGAAAAATGAATTTAGAGAAGGGTGATAGACGGAGATAGAGCAAAGAGGTAAGATGGGGATGTAAGGAGAGAGGAAGGGCAGGCGTCTGGAATACAAATGGCCGCCTGCAGCCGGGGCCCTCTCTGCTATCTGCTGGTAATGACTACACAACTCTCAGCAGCTCTAATGAAAATGACTTCCAATTCCCGGCTCACTGTATTGATTGTGTTTTCATCTTTATAAAATGAATACAGGGAGCGAGCTTGTCTCTACGCCACGTTTGAAACCGTGTGTGTGTGTGGGGGGGGGGGGGGGGGGGGTTGGGGGGGGCGGAGTTAAGAAGTACACAACATTTTTGATCTGTGTGTGTACTTGTAGGTGTGTCCTACATGCTGTAGATTTAAGTCTCGTATAAATCATTTAAAAATAAATCAAAGCCAGAGGGTTGAGACTGGTTTAGATTTTTGTGTGAGATTAGATGTTGAATGAAGTTGGAGTCTGGAGCAAATTTAAGCTCAAATTTCACATTTTTACTAAACTGATGAGTCGAAACAACCTCTTGGTTGGGATGGAGCCTTGTTGTTTGACACAAAACCAAACATTCGTGGTTTTTAGATTATTTTAGGAAATCTAATAAAATAGAAGAATTTTTTTACTCATATGAATACATTCTCTAGTAGGAATGAATGCCTTGTAAGTCATACTCAGAAAATAAACAGCTTAGATGCGCCTGAATCAGGAAGTACGAGTCAGCGGGAGGAGAAAATAGCTAACACATGCACAACACACGATGCTGGTTAGGAAGGTCATGGATGGACTGACACTTGCTCCCATCAGGACCGTCACACACTTCTATCTCAGTAAAATAAACACCACAACGTTGCTATGGAAGTTCTGTGCAAGCTCCAAACTGTCATCCATCCATCACATGTAGCCGGAAGCCAAAATCCTGATTTTGTTAACGTTGTCATAGCGACTGCTTCATCCAGTGTAAAGGAAAGCCTTCCTCATTTAAAACAAACGTTCTCAACATCCCAAAACCTTCTAGCTTGAGTCATTTCATCGTCCCTCGTTTCTTTTTCTCTGCAAGAAAGACAGAAACCATCTTTGGACCCATTAATGCAACGATACTGCACACCTCCATCATCATCTGATGATTGTTTTGTTCTGTTCAAATCTGAACCGCCTTGTCTACAAATTAATATGATTGACACAAACACCGCCGACTATATTGATGTTTGGATAGCTCAGAGAGGATCCTGCCGGAGGCTCTCGCTCCTTTACACAACTCTGATCAGTCTAATGGCTTCATTTGCACCCCATTACATCTCAAATCACAAAGACCTGTCATCCAGGCAAACCAACATCTGTGTTTCACAAATGATACATGTGGAATAGTGGCCTAATGAGCGACAGGCAGGAGCTTTCAGACGACAGGGGCAGACGTTTCACAGAATTGATTAGCACTAATAAAAGCCTCGGAGCTTCCGACATGAGGGGAAAATGACTTGAAGACGTTTAAATGCTCAGCTGGGTCTTCCCGACTGTCACTTAGCTGCAAAACTGAAACTTAGCATCATTTGTGTGCATCTGAAAATTTTATTTAAATAAGCTCACCTGACTTAAAAGTTGAATACGGAACAATTTAACACAAAGCTTTATTTAAAAAACTATTACCTCCATGGGGTGTTTAGAGGTGTGTAGAATGAAGGTCACATATGTGCTTTAAAAGCTATACTGTAATAAAAAAATCATCTAATGTAATTTTTCTTGACAGGCACAACACTGGGTTTATGGTTGCATCTAACGGCCAGTAGAGGGCACCATTGTGGCTGGCCCTGTGGAAATGGCAGACTCGGCAATTCAAGCAGCTGCTTCTGAGCCCAGAAAACGTCGTTATCGTTCTCATGAGACGAGCAACCATCAAAGATCTAAAACCAGAGTGAGTTTAGGTGAAGCCTACAACAGATGGACCCAAATAAAACGGTTCATGTATCAGCAGTGAACCTGGTATCCCGACGGCTGGAAACCTTGTTCTATTGTTGCAGCTACAACCTCCACCTACGACACCTTGCTTTGGTGTTCGTGTTCCATATTCATCCTTTACAAGAAACCTTTTAAAAACTGTACTTCTGAACAAATTCTACCTACAGAGTAGAGTTGTGACGTTCGCGAACGAACGGATTCGTTTGAGCGGCTCATAAACATGAACGATGGGAGCCGAGTCGCGGCTGGGGGAGCCGCTCTTTCTGTTGGTTTTTTTTTTTCCTAAGCGTGTTTCACACAGATGCACACAAATAAGCTCCTCCGCCAGACAGAACAGTTATGGGGGGTAGTGATGTGACGCACCCGCTCAAACCCCACCCACCGCTGTGACGGACGTAGGAGGAACGCTACTGTTGGGTATTTTTATAATTGTACATTTTTGAGGCCTAAAAGATGCCCATTTTGTGTTATTAACACTTCATGAATCTCTGTGTTTGCCAACTGTGGCTGTTCATGAAAGGTTGAGCAAGGATGTTGATTGTGGGTTTCCAACTGAAAACTGTACCTCTGTAACCTGAGAAGGCCCCGCCTTCTCCCCCATCCTGTGCTGAATAAAGCCCCTGGGAAACTGAGGAGATTTGGGAGTGACGGGGGAAAAGCCTCGGAGGAGGTTTCCTCTGCGTTAACTCTCCATTATTTTGGGGACTCAGTGTAAAATGTCTTCCATGTTGTCAAGAGTGTTTATTTCAGGTTCCCGGGTTATGGAGATTAAATAAACTAACATTTTGGTGGAGAATGCGGGCATGCAGAGCTGGTGAGCTGAAGGCTTTCCCCAGGAACAGAGGGGGCCTGGTTAGCTCCATGGAGGGGGTTTCTGCGCCCAGCTCTCGCATGACGATTCACGGACATTACAAATAATCTCTCTCTCTCGTCCTTTAAGGCAATATGGGATAAATCTAAAATTACCTATCAGCTACCCAACAGCGTGCTCCCTCACAGACACCAGAGGAACGCGCTGCTCTTAAACTTCTTCTTGTTCAGACGAGTATTTGATGGATATGTTTGTTATAAATGGTTTTGCAGCAGAAATATGAAACCTTTGGCTAACAATTTACACACAAATACAGAAATGCAACAATTCTGCTGCAAATTCCCATCAAGCCTGTTTAAAGGTTTAGAAAAGTGTAAATTTAGTAAATGTTTTACTTTAATTGAAATTGAAAAAAAATTCAATCAATTTTAATTACAAATTTATCATTAAATTTTAATGCTTGCAATTTTATTTTGCAATAATAAATCATAATGTTCATAGATTTTTGTACTTTTAGATTTTTAATTGAAACTTCAATGAGCAAGTTATGTCAGCAGCTTTTTTGTAATATGTTTTATTTTGTTTTTTACAGTACAGTCAACATGTTGCTCGTTTTACTGTTGGCTCAAAAGATAAATAACTTATCATTAATGAATGTGAGTGTTTGTATTGCTCGACTCGCTGTCTTGAAGCAAATGTTCATTTCTGCTAAAAAAGCAGGAGGTAAAATGCCCGAATCGAACCCTACTCCACCGAGACGAAGGGATGCAGCCGTGGGATGGGAATGAACAAGTAACTTTGTATTTTTCTGCTGGTGAGGTTGCCTTTGACTCCCCGCGTTTGTGTTGAAATTCTTGAAAACTGTGTTTAACTGAGACTTACTGAGGTTTGCCTTTGGCTTGACACGTCAGCTCCAAATTCTCTCCTTCCCTCGTCAACCCCTGAGGAAATTCCACCACGATTTTTACCTCTGGCTTGTCTGAAAGGATAAGAAACAAAATGGAGAGAATTACGGTTCGGCAACGTCTGAGCAGTAAGACCAGAAGTGTTTCTTATGGTTTAGTAAAACAGCAGAACTGCGGTTGTCTCCAAGTTGCCTTCAAATAATTCTTGAATGCTTGATACTGAATAAAATACAAAATACTTCATTTACAGGTGTGATTATTCCAGATTCTTCTCAGTTATGCTTCCATACGAAAATCCAGCACCTCATTACAAACTCCAGAGGTTGTGATGCAGGTTACCTCGTTGAAGTTTTAGAAAACACACAAATACAACGCTTCATCTCTTCCAACCTAAAAGATCTACGTGATAAGAAACCAATGAAGACCAATGATAATTAGCTCCAAGATCAACTAATAAAATTAGCCTTGTTTAAAAGTTTAAGAAAGTTTAGCAGATTTTTAAAAGGTGTCAGAAAGCAGGGATTGGATGTCTCCTAATCCATACAGAACCAGTCCGCCATGGATCATCCTACAGGTGGGAAACCTACCTGAGATCAATCCCCACCCCATGTACTACTAAGGTTGTGCCTATCTAGACCCCACAGGTACATGCTCAACGACGAGGCTGTTTGTACTGCCTAGTTCCACGGTGAGGCACCAGTGTCCCTACACTGGATGAGGTCTTTGAAAAATTTAAACCCTATCAGCGATACGCTACCCCAGACAACGTAGGTTTTGGGGTCTTTGGGACACGCAGAACCAACCATAACGAAACGGTGATGATGCACGAATGTAGCTACTCCTCTACATCAAAAGGATCCAGGTGAGGTGGACTAAGTCTGGTGAAACTGCTTCTGGATCATTTCTTACATGGTAAATGGCCTGTATTTGTATAGAGACTTCTAGGGTTCAATACCCCCCAAGGCACTTCAAAACACACCCAGCGAAGCACTCGTGCACACACACACACACACACACACACGCTCCCAGGCTGGTGGTGAAAAGCTACAACGTAGCCACATAGGTCCTGCGGTGGAGTGGCGGGAGCGAGGTTGATGAATGCTGGCACCACCGATCTTGTTGACCACCACCAGCAGGCAACATGGGTTAAGTGTCTTGCCAAAGGACTCAACGGTTGTGAGATGGGCCCTTAACTCCCCTGCCACCGTCACCCTAAGGTGCAAACCTTCACACACCTCCCCATTTCTGACCCCAGAGTGAGGCTTTGGTATCTCTCTGACCTCTAGGTGAGGTTTAGTGGTCCCTTGTTGGTTTCTAAATGTGGCTTCAGTCCTTTCAACCAGAACCAAACTGCAACAGGACACCCACTGAGACTTCATTTCCCAACAGACCATAGTGTTGGGGTGATTCATGGATGAATTCATGGGGCAGGTAGGTCATTTCATCATCTGCTAAGGATGTATTCTAGATGTCTTCACTCAAGAGACTTTCTGGAGGAATTAAAGCTCAAAAGTGACCTAGAAATACCTAAAAGTACCTCAGGATGAGCTGGAGAAAGAGAGATAGGTTTGGGATTATCTACTGAAGCTGCTTTCCCCGTGACCCAGTCCTGGGTAAGTGGCAGATGATGGATGGATGAATTCTTAATTTGACTGAGAGACGACAAACTTAAGCATAAACTGATGGCGGAAAACCATTACAGAGTAAACATTGGTCAATAATACATGCAGCCGTGGGAACCAGTGTGCTTCCCTCAGGACTAACATGCATCATAAATAAGAGTGGATGCAGAATAGACTCCTGGGAAATCCCTTAAAAGAGGAGCACGAGGAGGAGGGAGCACCTCCAGAGCATAACCGACTGCTGGCATTTGGTATTTTCATCTCCTGTTGGGGGAACTCAGTGGAAAGTTGAAAGCAGAACAGGGAAATGCCAGTAGACAGAGAGCATTTACTGATGGTTAAAATGTCTGGATCAGCCTTCTGAAATAGCTGCTGCTTTAAAAGACCCTCCGGGGTGGGGGGGCGCAGTGTGAGGGGAAGCTCCCAAAAGGTTTAGAGATTAAAAAACAACAAAAGATGCAACAATCAGAACAACATCCATAACTCGCTTTAAGAGAACTTGAGAGAGAAGCGGTCAATTTTATCCAGCTGAAAGGTAACTTTATTGACACACAAACAAAGCTACGAGCTGCACAAGCTCCGCCTCTGTGGAGTTGACTTGGCATAAACACCAAATTACATTCGAGGCGTTATTCCTTTACACCCTCTCAACTTGTTTTGACAAGTGGGCGTCTTTAACAGCTCAAGTTTCTCTGCACCCGTGTTTACAATGCTCCCATTCAATTCAATGATTTTATCAAATATTCATGTTTCCACCTTGGAGTGAAGGATTATGGTATTTCGGAAACAAAATGCTTCATTCTGTTGAATTCATGGCACAAAAAAACACAACCGTTGTTCTACAGTTTTCACCGAAACCTAATGACTTAACAATACAACTCCAACAAAACAAGGCATACCAAAAAAGGATTAAATAGTATGGAACATTTTAATAAAAAACTATACAAAAAATACCTCCACGGGGCGTTTAGAGGTGTGCAAAATGAATGTACAGTTTCTTCTTTAAAAGTTATTTATATATTAAAAAAATATCAAAACTTTATTTTGACGGGCAAAACACTGGGTTTAAGTTTACACCCCGCAGCCACTAGAGGGCACCGTTGTGCTAAAAAGTCTGCTTGGCCAGGCTGGGCTGGGACCGTGTAAAATGGTGGACTTGACAAGTCAAGCAGCTGAATCTCAGCCCAGAAGATGTTCTAACGGTAAACACTGTTGGAAACTAAACTTATTAGTAGAAATCAGTCCTTATCTTGTAAGATTTGTCACTAGACATGGTGCTGGAACGTGTCAGCCGAGAATCAACATCCCAACGGCTGGAAAAGGAGTTATGCTGTTGCAATACCAACGCTGAACACCAGAGTTCGCCAGAGTGTTCGTCAATCAATCAATCAATCAATCAATCAAAGCTTTATTTATAAAGCGCCTTCCGCAACCCTGTCAGGAAGCCCAAAGCGCTGAACATGGTACAGTTGTAAGTAATTATACTGAATAAATCAACAATAAAAGAAATTCAAATTACAAAATACAAAATGGAAATAACAAGATAGATGAAACATTCCGGTAAAATACAAATGAGTGAAACACATTTGGATTGAGTGGATGGATTGAGTGTACCAATGAAAACTGTGGAATGGATTCAACATAATAGAGGGCCATAATCAAACATGTTCTGGAAACGCCAAGCGGAGGAGGTGTGTTTTTAGGTGATTCTTAAAGACTGGCAGAGAAGGGGACAGCCTAACTGAGGGTGGCAACTGGTTCCAGAGTAACGGTGCTAGGACTGAGAAAGCCCGGTCCCCACGGGTACGACACCTAGACCGAGGGACAGCGAGCAGGCCTTGGTCAGAGGAGCGCAGAGCACGTGATGGGGAATGTCTGTTCAGGAGAGTGGCCAGATAGGGGGGACCACCACCCTGGAAGAAATTAAAAACAAAGATGAGGATTTTGAATTGTGAGCGATAGGAAATCGGAAGCCAGTGCAGGGAGGCCAGAACTGGACTGATGTGGTCCCGTTTCCTGGTCCCAGTCAGGAACCTGGCAGCGCTGTTCTGCACAACCTGTAGGCGACGCAGTGTTGACTGACACAACCCTGCATAGAGAGAGTTGCAGTAGTCAAGCCTAGAAATTACAAAGGCATGCAGTACCCGCTCCAGGTGGGCTCTCGACAGCATATGCTTGATTTTAGCAAGGCGTCTCAGGTGAAAGAAACTGGACCGGATCACAGAATTGATGTGAGCATCAAATTTAAGTCCAGCATCAGGTTTCACCCCCAAACTGGTAACAACTGGTTTTGAGTAGGGAGAAAGAGGGCCAAGATCAGCATAACGATCCACATTCCTGCTGTTGGGGTGAAAAACAATGAGCTCTGTCTTTCCCTCATTCAGATGTAGATAGTTGGACATTAGCCAAGACTTCACCTCATTAACACAGGAGACAAAGGACTGAATAGAGTGACCTTTCTCCTGACACAATGGAGAGTAAATCTGGCAATCGTCAGCATAGAGATGGAATGATAGGCCATGTTTACGAAAGATTGACCCCAGAGGTAGCAGATAAATGGCAAACAAAAGTGGACCAAGGATCGACCCCTGCGGGACCCCCCAGCAGAGCCCCTCCCAAGAAGAAAAAACATCACCCAGTTTAACACAGAATGTCCTGTTTTGGAGATACGATCTAAACCAATCCAGAGCTGACCCTTTGATCCCAACCCATCGTTCCAAGCGATCGAGTAGAATCGCGTGGTCAACTGTGTCGAAGGCTGCTGTCAGGTCTAATAACAGAAGCAGCACAGATGTTCCCTGATCTAGTGATAGATAGATGTCATTTAGGACCCTCAGTAGAGCAGACTCTGTGCTATGGCCAGACCTGAACCCTGATTGGAAAACCTCAAACAGATCAGACTCAGCTAAATGTGAGACCAGCTGCTGATAAACGACTTTCTCAAGCAGTTTAGATGTAAAGGGCAGGGTAGAGATAGGCCTGTAATTGTCTATCACAGAGACATCAGCACCAGGTTTCTTCAGGGTCGGCCGAATAACTGCTGCTTTCAAAGCAGCTGGGACAACACCTGTGCTGAGGCTCCCATTGATAATCTGACCAAGTGAAGGGCCAAGGCACGGAAAGGCAGCCTTCCAGAGACGAGGCGGCAGAACGTCAAGTGGAGAGCCAGATGGCTTCTGCCTCGCAACAAGCTTACTCAGCTCAGAGTATGAAACAGTATTGAGGGAGCTCAGGGTGGGTGGTGATGGAGGAACTGGAACAGGGTCAATAGTTACCAGAAATAGATGCTCTAATGCCCGACACTTTATCAACAAAGAATTTGTGAAAAGCTTCAGAGTTTCCAGCAGCTGTAGGAGACATGGAGCTAGGCTCCTGATACACCAGAACAGAGTTTAGCGTTTTGAAGAGAATCTTAGGATTATTGGAGTTAGTCTCAGTGATGTCTGCAAAAT